GGAGTCTCGGGTATGCGAGTGTTCGTTCACATCAGCCCGCACTCAGCTATTTTAGTGTGCGTGCTGGCATGCATTCAGTGGCAGCGGTGGACACTGTTTACTTTTTTTTTTTTTTGTCAGAGTTTGTGACAAAAAGCATTGCAATAGAAAAACGTATTGTTTCTGATAATACAATCAAAGCTTACTTGAAAAAAATCCCTTTTATGTAGTGAGCGCTGCCTTCCGTCTGCCCATCACTTCCAACAACTTTCTGGATTCCCAGTGTGCTTTGCTTCTCTTTCTCTGCTGCTTGTTATGATGCAATCTCCATTTCTCAAGACTACATCTCCCATCATGCATTGCTTCCAGCAAGCAGTGATAAATGTTACATTGTTCAGACATTGAGTTGTAGTTCAGACAGCAGGCTCTGTGAGCGTGGTGACACCAGGAAGTACATATTCACCGGGCTGAGTGAAACTGTGTCAGTGCCTAGAGGAAGTCCATCCTATGGGCATCTTCAGTAAGTAAGTTTGCAGACTTTTGGATGAAACTGGTTATTAGGAGTGGTATAGAACCTCAATATAGAAATACAGATATATTTTTAGTTTTTAACCTGCAATAAGGGCTTGTTCACACCAAGCGCGTTCCAGGAGCAGAGCAGGGCAGTTACAGAACGGATCAAAACTGTGTCTAATGTATTCCAAATGGTATTTCGGGCTCTAGTTCACACCGCAGCGTTCAGTTCCAAAGCATGTAAAAAAAACTGCAGCAAGCCCTATTTTACCTGTTCTGCAACGCTCTGGAACACATGCAAACAAAGCAAAAACGCATGCAAACGCCCTGAAAGCCCATTTTAAACTTTAAAACCAAAAACGGCCCGGAACGCATTAAAAAACACGGTATAACACACTACACTGCGTGTGCAGAAACTCAGGCAGATCTGGTCTCCACTTGGTGTGAACAAGGCCTTAGGGAACAATTTAAAGCTCCTCAACTTTTGGGTTCCCATTCACTGACAAACGACTCCAAATGAAGCTCATATAGGCACAGAGAGCGCAAAGTAAAACCTTTGTGTGGCGAGGCGCAGATGTAACAGCCTTCTTTTTTTACACAGCCAAGACCGGCACGTGAAGCTGGCGTTTATTTCCTGGCCTGCGACACCGACACTTTTCTCATGAAGCAATCAGCCGAGCGGCACAATCGGCACTCAGATGCCGAACAAAGAGCCAATATCAGAGCGCTCATAGGTATTCATTGCAGCATCCAGGAAGCAGTATCCCCCTGCAGTGTAGATCAACAACGCTCGCCTTTATAAAAGGCTCGTGGAGCAGGCGAGGAACGCCAGCCAACGCCGATGAATGCGGCCAGGGCTCAAACAAACAGCTGCTGCTTAACGTGGCACGGAGACAAGGGCCCGAATACAGAGAGAGGCCCAGACACACACACACAGGGCTATGGGCCGACACTCAATAACTTTCTCAGGGCTTTCTACGGCTAGAAAGGACAAAAAGAAAAAATGGGAAGCAGTATAAAAAGAGTAAAAAAAGAAAAAAAACTGAAAAAGGTAACAAAAATGATAAAGAAAAGAGATTTAAAGGACAGAACATGAAGAGGAAACAGAAACTCGATAATAGGAAATAAATGACAGGGGGGGGGTCGGAGTCAGCTCCATTGATAACTAGAAACAAAAAACTCAAATGGGCGAACAAACTGGATGGACATGGATCCCACAATGGCGACATCCAATCTGTACCGGTCCAATCGCGATCCCCTCCTGATTGTCCCGTGTGAAATGGGCCTTGCTGTTCGTTTTTCTCTCGGGCAAAAATAAAGAAGCAATACCAACCCGATCCTTGGTCCTGTCGCAGTAAATCGCTCACCTCTCTCCCCCTCTGCTCCGGTATGTCCCTCGTGGTCTTTACGTCTTGGGCTCCATTCACTTATAGCTGTAGCGTTAACGAAACCGAGCAGACTTTAACGTATGTGCGCATTCCAGGCTATTGCTATAGTCGGAACATGCGGAATCCACCATAAAATTGTGCTTCTACTATTTTGCCCGACGCGCGGTTTCGTACCACGCGGCTGCCGCAAAAGTCTGAACAACGCACATTGATGTGCATTGTTTTTTATGTTTAGAGCGGTTCCGGGCATATTCGTACGGCCGAATATGCACAGACAACCACTCCTGTGTGAATGGAGCCTAATGGACCTG